ACCGCTGTCACCAACGCACTCGACGGCAGATTCAAAATATGCGATCGTCCGAAGCTCACCTCGTTGACCACCTCAACGGACTTCCGTGCATAACCCATGGATGTCTTCTGCACGACCGCCTCAACTTTCTGTCTCGACCACCGCCGACGCCATTCTCGTGCTGGCGCGGCGTTGTTCGTGAGAAAATTTCCGTGGATGTTTACCAGAAGAATTATCCGTACGCTGGCTCTCAATGCTCATTTAAAAAACAAGTATAACCTTGTCAAAGCTCATGTGGAAAATATCGCAAATTCCGAAAAAGTCGTCACGTTTTTCGATCAATTCAATTGTGACTTGGTTTGAAAGAGTCTGAGCTATTTAATTAGCAACACATGATTCACGCATATGTCGTGGACAGGTTGTCGCGTCCGGATAAGGCTTGGATTCCATGACTACACCGACCAGTCAGCATTTTGCCACGCATCTTTCCGCTGCTGCGATGAACAAGGGTGAATCGGACGATGTGTCGTGCAGCGCGTCTGCGTCTGCTGCGCCTGTCGCCGCCCCGCGATCGGGAGGCATGTCTGTTCGAGGGACCAATCCTCGCGAAACCCACCACGAAGTCTTTGGTGGTACGTGAAGCATCCATCGAAATGATTGAGCGCCATCTCATTCTCCATGAAACGACGCGTTGTGCGTAGATGGAAACCTGAACACGGTCATGCTCGTGCTTATCCTTGTCCACTTGATGCAGTACTTGATGCGTCCTCCTTGTACATGTTAATCCATGTCGTTACTCCAGCAATATCTAAAAGCACTTGCGGTCGATGATGCTCTCGTGGTATTCTTCCCACTCTTGACGCGTGATTTGAATGTCCTTGAATGTGGGGAGCGACGCAAACATGCTGCCGCCGATCCACGCTGCCATCTTGCGGTGTGTGTTGTACCCTCGCTCCCGTGAATTATAGTCTGGTACGATTCGTATGTCGGACTCGCTCAGCTTGGTCTGCAGCTCCTGATGCAAGCGATGGGCTAGCCCTAACTCAGCCGTTCAACATCACACTCGTCGTGAAGAAGGGAGGACAATACCTGGAATCATGGTCGTACCACCTGCCAGGACGACAGCGGCCCTCAGATCCTTTTGCAAGTCTTTGTCACACATGGAGATGGCTTGACAGGCCAAGTCCGGCAGACTCTTTGCATGTTTGGCAGGGTGGTCGTCCGCAAGTTGATTCGGATGGAAGAGGATATCCGTGGCTTTAGTGCGACAGTCAGGGTGGATCGAGATCACCGTCCCGTCGGGCAGTTCATACGGCTTGGAGCTGTTGTTGCTGCTGTCGTAGTTGTTGGTGCTGCCGCCTGTGCATTGGCTGGTGAACCCCTTTTCCAAATAACTGTGTCATGGACACTGGATCATACCAGGAGGGGTCATGGGGGGAGTGTAGCAGTGACTTTCTTTCAAGTCTGCAAACATCGTGTGCGAAAACGACTTGAGCGCATGGCCATGTCGATTCAGGAGCAGCTCCAAGTGCTTGGTGATGTCGAACCCGCCAATGCCCAAATGGAGCGTCGCGTGGGGCAAGGCATACCTACGACGAGTCATCAGGTGCAGTCACCATCGAGTCCAATTTGAAACACGTGCGCAGCACCTACCCTTCAAAGATCGGTACTGCATGACTTGAACCATGGCCAGCTTCAATGATCAAGCCTCGAGTGCGACCCGACGCAAACAGGGACAACACGCATTGCTGCATGCTGTAGAACGCTGTCGTTTTGAACGACTCGAACATGATCTGCGCCGTCTTTTCCAGCTGCGCCTTGGGAGTTGGCGATGACCAAGTGCACAGGACTGGCATGCTGATCGCTTCTGGGTTCATGCGCATTTCGTGCTCAAACGTATAATCCCATACTTTCTCCATGGCGTCCCAGTCCGTGACGACGCCCCGTTGGATCGGGTCCACAATGTCCAAGTGCTCGCGGACTGCATGGCATTCCTTTCCGACAAAGTATTCTCGATCTGGCTTGACCCCAGCGTTGTGCGATACGAGCCAGTCGGGGTTCCGCACCTGTCCAAAGGACGTTTGGAATGTCCCGCGGGGCATGTCTTCGCCAGAAAAGCCCACTTTGACTAACCCCGATCCATTATCCAACACGATCGCACCCAAGTCGTCCATAGCGTGAACACGCGTTGCACGGTCTTTGGTCTTATGTTTGAATTTGTTTTTGGTTTTGTGCCCTGATTCCGAAAGGTCGCGATCTTTCGATGAGCTAATCAAAGCGCGAGAAAAAACCGACCGTGTACATCACGGAAGTGTGCATCTACCAGGAAACGAGCGATTTCAAGCACACCAAGTGCGCACAAGACACATCGAGTTGACGTCAACCATTCTGCCAAGGAACTATAGAGCTCTGTGGTCGAAGCAACGACATTCGACAGTCTACGTGGCAATGCAATAGGATTAAACGGTGTTGTTCTCGACGTGGGCAACAGTCGATTTCGCAGAGGGGCGTTGGAATCGAAGCAGCATCAATTGATCGCCTTCCTTGAGGGTCGCGCGCCAAGCGCGCACGCCTTCCATTGGGGTGTTATGTACGTGGCTGAGATAGTCGTTCACTTGCACTTGACGTCGACCTGGGATGTCGTTGCCATGGGGACTCACAGTCTCAACCACAGGGAGACCTCGACTTGCATGCCAAGCTAGTGTCAGGCCCAATACAGGCTGCTTGCACCGGTTCCACAACACGTCGATGGAAGCACGTCCTCGTTCAATGCGGTGCTGTTCATGAATTTGTTGTGTTGGTTCACACCAGCTTTCGGTGACACCAACTCTCATGCCGATACTCGAGTCGGCTGTCCAGCGCAACTCGTCCACGTTGCACTCGTCGCCGCTGTCTGTGCTGCTATCGATATCCCCATCGTAGTCATACCAGGACGGTGACACACTCCGTGAATCGGATGACTCGAGGTCGTCGGACGAAGAGTCAAAACTTATGGCGGATGGCGCACGCAGCAACTCGAATCGACGCCGCGCGTACATGCGTCGAGCAATCGATTGGAGGAGAATGCACGCTTCAAGCCGTTTCTGTCGCATCGTGTAAGCCCGCCAAGCACGCACCAAACGTCGCACAGCGACAAGTTGAGTGATCAAGACTTGCACAGGGCGATCGTAATGAGGGATTGCTCGCGGATTCACAACATGCCGACCCAAGTCTTTACCTTGACGTGGCCTAACGAAAGGAGGCATCGTCGGACGTGTGGCTGGAAGCGAGTTTGCGGTATAAGATTTGGTCGTGTCTACAGCTGCATATGGCGATACGTATGGTTCTATCGGCTTTGTTCCCACGACTTGTTTTGGAATTGAAGCAGATCTTGTTGATTCTGCATTGATATCGTAGTTGGCAGTGGTCGTGGTCCCCGAGTGCCGGGGACCACGCGATACCACCATCTCGTTTTTGCCACTCGAAGTAGGATTCTGTTTCGATTCGAGCACAGGTTTGTCAGTACTTCCAGGTGATGTTGTGGGGATATGCCGAGCGGGGAGGGCGTTGGCCATTCGGTGGCTCACCGACATGACTGCGCACGACGTGTGCGAGGCAAGATCCTTGCCAAAAGTCTTGGCTGAGTTGTAGGCGTGGTGCATGATGCGTGATGGTGCCACAGACTGATGGGATGAATCTGTTTGCATAGATCTATCGCTCGCTGCAGAAAACATGATCCTTTTCCTTCGTAGAAGGCACTGCGGCATTTACGCACTTAGCCACTCAGTGGTCGACTTGGTGTCGCAAACTTGACTTTCTCTCAATTTGATGTTGTCCTTCAAGCCAATCAAACATCAGAATTTCGCCGTGACGATGTCGCGTCACAAGTTGCGTCCACTGTGTTGACCCAACATTGCACTTCAACCAGAAGTGCAAACATGCACAATAGTGGCGCCTTCCTTCAAAGGAAAAGCTCAGCAGATAATTCACCATGCAGAAGCGGTGGAAGGCATCTTGATGAGATTGCAAAACGTCTCCGACGGTATGTACATCGTGGTGGTAGGTGACTCGAAAACCTACCTTGGTGGCTCTGGTGAGGAATTTTTTGAAGCCTGTCTTTTGCTAGGAAATTAGATGACGTTTAGTCTGTGTGGTGATTGACCGTGAATCAAATTGATCGGTGAGAAGTGTTTTTCGGTGAGATGTTGGATGATCCGTGAATGCAGTTGACGAAACGGCACAGCAATTCTTGCAAAAATACCCAAAATAGATTTGAATTCAATATATCTGACAATTCTCTTATACAAATATCAAGGGATTTAATTGGAATACTTCTTTTTCGAGGGAGATTCCTTGGAATTCACTAAAGCAGCATTCGAGGAATGGGTCGTGGCATTTTGAAACTTACCATGTTCGCAGCGTCAACCAAGCGTGCGGCGGCTCGCCATGCCGCTCCCTTCGTCTCGAGCTCCCGAGTTTTGATGACGCCGCATACCATGACTACAAGCATGCAGCAAACACGTACAATCTACGGCGGTCTGTACAACATGGCAAAGAAGATGATGCCTCGTATGTCCAAGACGGAGAAAGCCGCGCTCGATAGCGGTACCGTCGGATTTGACCGCGATATTTTCTCGGGATCGCCCAAGCTCTCTGCGCTCGACAAGTACTCGGCAAAGCTCACCCCTGAAGAGCAGTCGTTCTTGGACAACGAAGTGAATGAATTGTGCGAGATGCTGAGCGACTATGACATCTTCCACAAGCAAGATTTGCCGCTCGAAGCGTGGAAGTTCATCAAGGAAAAGGGGTTCCTCGGTATGATCATCCCCAAGCAGTATGGCGGCAAACAGTTCACCGCCCATGGCCACTCCCAAGTCATCACGAAGCTCAACACGCGCAGCACGACCGCCGGTGTCACTGTCTGTGTGCCCAACTCTCTCGGACCTGCTGAACTCTTGCTCCGCTACGGTACTGAAGAACAAAAGAATTACTTCTTGCCAGCGCTGGCCAAGGGCGAGCACCTGCCTTGCTTTGGTCTCACCGGCCCTACCTCCGGGTCAGACGCTGCCAACATGAAGGACACCGGTGTCGTCGAGGTCCAAGACGGCGTCCTCGGCATTCGCGCCACGTTCTCCAAGCGATGTACGATACCTTTTCAATCATGTCCATCTACCTCATTCCATTCTGCCTCGTGGACACATGGAGTTGCAACTTGCACTCACTGATATCTGGATAGACATTACCCTCGCTCCCGTTGCCACATGCGTCGGCCTGGCCATCGATGTCAAGGATCCTGACAACCTGCTTAAGGGCATCGGTCATGAAGGCATCACGGTGGCGCTGCTCGAGCGGGACCACGCCGGCCTTGAAATGGGCCGCCGGCACGACACTCTATCAGTTCCGTTCATGGTACGTCGTTCATTGCATGATTCAAAGTTGACGGAACACTCGTGCAGAATGGACCTGTGACCGGCACGGATGTGTTTATCCCGATGGAAAAGATCATTGGCGGCCAAACGCGAGTCGGATACGGCTGGAACATGCTCATGGATTGCCTGGCAGAAGGCCGTTCGATCTCGCTTCCCGGCGGCGGTGTCGCGGGGGCCAAGGTGTCAGCCGTCGCCGTTGGCGGGTACGCGCGAATTCGCAAGCAATTCAAGGTCCCAGTGGCCACGATGGAAGGTGTCCAAGAACACCTGGCTGCGATCGGCAACCAAGCGTTCATCACGATGGCTGGCCAGTACCTCGTCAACGGCATGCTCAACCAACACGAACAGCCAGCTGTGATTTCCGGCGTATGCAAGCAACAAATCACAGCACGCGGCCGCGACGCGGTCGTCCAGGCCATGGACGTGCTCGGAGGTGCCGGCATTTGCCGCGGCCCAAACAACTTTTTGGCAAACTCGTACATGAGTTTGCCCGTCGCGATCACGGTCGAAGGCGCCAACACCCTCACCCGGTCGCTCATCATTTACGGCCAAGGGCTAACTCGCGCCCACCCGCACTTGTACCCACTCATTCAGTCGCTGCAACATGGCGACGACGTCGCGTCGTTCAAGAAACATGCGAATGCGTTGGTGCTGCACGGTGTCACGAACGCCGTCCACTCGCTCACGCGCTCTGTAACGTACGTCGTGTGTTTGTACCGTCTGCATGGATGGCATGTGATGCGACCGTGGGTCTGATTCCACGGGTCTGCTTCTGATTCCACGATCGAACGGGTGGTTGTCGTGGCCTGTCGTGTTGCACGGCATTGACCAGCGTGCCAACAATTGACGGTGTCATCGTGTTAGGCGGAGTCGATCCAAGGGCGACCTGGTGAGCCACTACGAGTCGCAGCTGAGCCGCCTGGCCGCCAACTTTGCGATCACGACGGACCTGGCGCTCGTGCTGGGGGGCAAGCTCAAGTTTAAAGAAATGATCAGCGGTCGGTTCGCCGACGCGTTGTCGAGCTTGTATTTGGGGTATGCGTCGCTCTGGTTTTACAAGCAGCACCAGGACATGGCCGGCCTCGACGTTGTATTGGATTATGCCATGACAACGCTGTGCTATGACGCTCAAGAAGCGCTCGTCGGGATCGCGTCCAACTTTCCAGTCCCGGGCATGGGACCGGTCATGAAGGGCGTCGCGTTTCCGTTTGGTCGTGCGTATGCCAAGCCCACAGACGCGCAGGTGGCGGCGGTCGCGGAGCTCGTGAGCTCGGACAGCGGGGTGCGGGATCTGTTTTCCACGAGCATGTTTATCTCGAAGGATCCGACGGACCGCGTTGCAAAGATCCACCACACGTTGCCGAAAGCTATCCAGGCAGACAAGATTCTCGCCGCAATTCGAAAGGAAAAGCGCAGCGCGACGGTGGACGAACAAACGCTGATCGACCAAGTCGAGGCGCTGCGAAACGAAATCATCCAAGTTGACGCGTTCTACGGCCTCGGCGCTGAAATCGGCGCCCCCGCCGACTACAAGCGACCTGGCTTTGTTAACAACATCTTGGACAAGAAGAAGCAAAAGACCCCGTCAAGTTAAACTATCGATAAAACCACCATCCCATGCACGAGCAATGGAAGTCTGCCGTGAGGAAGCACCCCTCTCGTACTTGGCATTCCGTCGTGGCAGGGCATGAGTCACTCTCCACCACCTCATTCCACCGACTGGCATTGAATGCGTGTAACATAATACGGAAATGAGCTTGGAGGGGCAGCGAGCTGATCAATTTTAATTATTCGAAGAGATGTCTTCGTCGCCCAAGTTCAGTGGACGAGATGACATGTCTGCCCATGCCGTGGACGACACTCTGGGGTACGCAAAGTTAAACGGGTTGCTCATGCAGCAGGATGGACGGAGATGCCATGACGTGGCGAGCGCAATCGTTTGGGTTGCTCCATGGAGGACCTCGACCGCCGGCAGAGACGAAGACCTCTATGGCGAGGTGGCTTCCGGTGTCGAGTCCCGTGATATATATGTCTACCTTCGTATAGTAAAAACAAGTTCCATTTCGTGGGCTCTATTACTTTGAAGAAGTATTCTCTGGCAGGTGCATGTTGCATCCAGGTCATGCCATTTTCGATGACACTCAAGCGTCGTCGCGCAGTCGTGGCTGCAGCCTTGGTGGGTCATGCAGCTGCCACCGGGTGGGAACCTCTTGAACATAACCAGCTATACGTCGGCGGTGATCTCCACACAACCTCCCAGTCATCGATTCACGGATGCGCCGAGGACTGCCGTGCTTTCCCAAAGTGTGACCGATTCGTCTGGACGCCAAAGGTTGGAGGCACCTGCTACCTCAAAGAAAGCACAACAGTCACTGCACCAGCTCAACACGGCGCGATGGCTGGTCGTTTGACGCCGCCGAGTGATCCAGCGTCGTCGTCGTCCAGAATCGAGGAACATCAAGTTGGACAGTCTCCACTCCCCCACCTAACGTTCTGTACCATGAACCATGCCATGTGGGCTTCCGCGTACCCTACGGAACTCTTCACCGTAAACCTCACGGACGGCAACGCGCTCTTCCGACCGCCCTTGCTGGACTCGAATGATGACAACATCACACCGTTCCATCATGTGGAAACGATCGGCGAATGCGCGCAGATCACGTCGGTCTTTGAAGTCGTCTTCTTCACGTACCTGCCAACGTCCAGGTTGTGCATTCCGCTACAATTCCCTCCATTCTCCAACATGAGCTCGTCGACGACGACAAACACGCTTCACTTGAGACATCCATCCAGCAATGCGACAGAGGCCACCACAGTGACACCGCTCGTGCCGCCATCATTTCTAGCACCATTTCAGCGCGCCACAGGGACCGCTGAGTCAGTCGACGCTTGCAATGTCGCGTGCGCCGTCGACCCTTCCTGCGCTGCCACCACGTGGGGCCGCGGCCAATGCACAATGTACAGTCCAAACGAAGCCCCTGCGCATGTCGACGCCATTGCTGGATGGTTAGCCGCTCCGGCAGCTCCGACAGCAGATCTCGCAACTTCATCCAACGACACAACCACGGCCGAGTTTCGTGCTTCAAGCGTGCACTTCTTCATCCAGGCACACCCAGATGATGCGCTTCTCTTCATGATGGACGATGCTCTGGCGGCGCTCATGGACCCAACTGCCAAGATCGTGTTTGTGTGCATCACAGCAGGGGACGCCGGTCAGGAGGACGGATGGTGGGAGGCGCGCGAAGCGGGGGCTGTCGCGGCGTCAGCGTTCCTTGTCAACACCTTGACCAGTCCTTCCACTCCAGAACACGTCGAGGAAAATATTGCGGAGCGCGATGGATTCCCCGTGCATCATGTGACGGTGGGACCGCGGGTAGTCCACTACTTCCTACGGCTCAGTGAAGCTGGATGGAACGGTCTGGTGATCGACGAAGCGCCCACAACCTCCTCTCACGGCGGTAGCCCCGTCTTGGCTCCATCCAAACCCCACAATCCCGCAACTTCAAACGACTCCAGCCTTGAGGAACCACTGCAACTCAACGATATCCGCGCGATCCTTCGATCAATCATCAAGACTGACGCGTATGGCATTGCTAATGCCAGTGTCGGCTTGCAAGCGTGGCCGCAAACACCTGCCCAAGCGGACGACGAAGCGGATCACGAGCTCCACATTGCGACTGGCAAGTTTGTGGCCGAGCACGTTGTCAACGCCGAGCCCCTTTGGAAAACGTGCATAAACCAGCGCTACTACTTTGGGTACCAACGGTGGCGCCATCCCGAAACGATGCACGAGCCATTTCGGACATACCAGCGCCAGATGTGGATGCACATGAGCAAGGCTGTCGAAGACAGATACCCCGTCGGGTACCCACCATGGCTAGACCATGCGCACACATTGGGCCGGCAGTACGTGGACTTGAACATCGTTAGTACCAAGCCGTGTCATAGCTAGCCCGTGATGCGCGGCACGACATCGAGTGGCAGATGCGAGCGAGCACGATTGTTGTTGAACGCGACGGAACTTGAAAATCGTAATAGACAGTTGAGTTTTGTGACATTAAGACATTTCAATAATGTGACATTGTTGAACCGTTGACACAACAAACTACCGCAGGAGAGTGTCGTTTAGACAGTTGTCTTGGTACCGTCGGGGAGTACGATGCGATGATGCACTTGGCGTGCCGACGTCGGGCAGGGATGCACACGCAATCTGGTCGTCACTGTCGGGGTGGACACAAACCCGCTCAGGTTCGTTGAGCATTTAAGGCGGCGAATGGCAAGCATGTCAATTGCTGCTGGTTGCTGGCTACGACATAGACGACGTATGCTACCTCGGGTTACGGACAAGACCGCTTGAGCGCCGCAAGCGACGAGTCATTTGACCGTCAAAGCCCATCGGATCATGTCGCTCGCCCCGATCCTGACGAAGGACCTGACACTTATGTGCTCTAACCAAGCAGCGTGCCGAGCCGCATTTGCATGACTCATATGATGTCATGACGAGGACTTCAACAACAAAAAACACCCGGATAATATACCATTTATCCGGAAGAGATGCACACAGCAAACAACCATTGAGTTGGTTCGGATGATGGAACCTGGAACCAAGGTAAATCCATGGGGCTTGTGCCGCGCTTAGTTGACGCTGGTAGTACGCGTTGCGCCATGCAACAGACCCGAGCGGGTTGAAGTGGGCTGCGACAATCAAGCTCACGCCAGAAGTCCTAGAGAAGCTCCAAGCGGGGTCGGTGTCAATTCGCTTTGCCGCTGAAAAGACCGACACGAGCGTGCTGCAGGTGAACGGAGAAACGTTCGAGCTGCTGTCATTCCAGGAAGATCGTACAGTTAGCCACTTGTGCACATTGCGACAGGAGCAATGTAATGGTGGCAGAGGGTATGCATTCCACGAGGTTTGTGCTTTTCATCATTGCATTCCTTTGTTTCTGTGGTCCCTTGTTCGTGCATGTAGACTGGTCGCATTGCCAAGAAGCTTCTAGTTCAGCGCATGCTCGATGGAATTGAAAAGGATCGGATCAAAGATCGACATGCCAAGAGCGTCGAGGACTCCAAGGCTCGCAGCTCCATCGTGCTCGAAAACAAACCAACGATCGGCAAGGGCAAAACGCGCACTATGCGCCAAACCGTACTTCTAAATCCATCCCTATCTCTCAAAGCTACATCTACCCCATCTACCTCGATGCGGAAGCGGTGGGTCTTTGGTAAACGCTATCGCATGAACTAAAATCGAGTTGCTATCCAGGCGCCTTCCTTCGGCACTAACACCCGAGTCCTTGGAGTCCATGATGCAGGCTATTGACAAAGACGAGTTGCGACATATTCCACTCCCTCCTGCACCTATTTTCCCTTCCGAAAGCGCATCCTCCACTTCCGTGGACGCGGCAACGGCTTCTTGTGATGGCGCTCCAGGTAATTCTGCGCCTTGCATGAACGCCATTTGTGATAGATGTGATAGTAATTTTTGCACATGTGGGGACTTTGCGAATATTTTATATATATTTGTATTTGGAAAGGTGGCACGACAAAGAAGAAATCAACGAAGAAATCGATAATCGGTTCAACAGCCCCGACACAAAAAAAGCCAACGAAAAAGGAACTCAAGGCTGCTGCCGAAGCTGCGGCGAAACATCTCCAGACCACTGTCGAGGAAGACGAGCCCGCGGTCCATGCTGACAGCGACCGTGACGACCGCAACCTCGAAGAGGAGTCGGCGCTACCATCACCACAAGAATTCGATGTGATCAAGAAACGCTCGTCCACGAACAGCCCGCCGCTGATCCGCGCAAAACGCCGTGTCTTGTCGTCCGCTCTAAATTCGCTGTCGACGTTTACGCCCGACGTGGAAGCGGTGTTCAAGCGCCACATTGCAGTGCCACGTAAGCCAGTGCATGCCGCCTCGACGAGGAAGTCAAGTGGAGGATGGTAGGCACCTTGCAGCCCATTACCTCGGCGGAAGACTTGGTGGGCCGTCAGAAGCAGCACAAAGACCTCTTAGCAGAGTGGACACTGCTGGATAAGGTGGACATCCCCATGGTGGGTACGTCTTATGCGCTTTGGAGTGTAGGCGTATGCTGTGGAGAACGTGTTGCGCCACGGCGAGGCCATCACTGGCACGTATGGTCTCCAAGCGGCGACCAACACTACAGCTGCTCGTCGTCGCGTTGAGGTACATAAGCCTGGACGTTTCAAAGGTGAATTTCGTTGACGCTTGATGGACATCTTGACAGGGAATGTCATTGCTTCGAAAACTGCTGGCGCAGCTGCATGAACAACTAGAGCAGCTCCATGCTGCCATCACAGTATACACAGAGGATGTGGACAAGGCCACGGCCACCACGAGTAATTGCCACCAGGGTTCGTAGGTCCGACACGACCTCTCTGCATGGACTTCCACCTCCAGAAAAGCTTCAACTCTGTATGGTTTGATCGGCACCGCATAATATATGAATGAGAGGAAGGAGTACACGTCTCCCATAGTCTCCTTGGTGCTGTTGCGGGCAAAGGGACTCGCCTCTTCTTGCTTGACAGAGATCCGTCGGCGAGCAGCACTCGATTGTCCATCACACGTCGGCCCAGAATCCAGTCCCAGTATTTCTTTATAGCATTTTTCGAATACAATATTGTCCCATTTCATCATTCTCGTCCCACAGCTCTCGTGCAATTCATGGAAAGACCCAAACGTACAAATTCATCCAGATACAATGCACCATTCGCTCGAAAAATACAACAAATAGTGCAATTCGTGGAAAAACTACTGCAACTTGACTTGCATGTACACATCTCATTTAAAAATCTACATCAACATTGATTTGACATTTTCTCGATATAGAAGGCGCAATTTCGTACAAACTCAACACAAGCTACGGTTCGGGTTGTCTATGGGTGCAGTACAGTGAACTCTGAAAGAAGCCGACATGGTTTCATCCTGAAAATGGATCGAGGCAGAATCAGATCAATATATGTTTAAATTACTTGAATTCGTCCACCCTGAATAGCTTGCTATAACTATAGCAGAATTTCAGCCAGACAATCACAGGTACAGTGCATTATTGTATCGGCACTGGAATTGGTCAAAAGATATAGTATATCCGACTTGGTATACTGTACACTTGGCAGAATTTTTGAACCGGATCATGTTTTGGAGGTGGTCGGCTTTTTCCAGGGTTCACTGTAATAATCGAGTAATTGAGTTTACTGTTAAACTAAGTGGCCTCTTGGGGTCCTTTTGATTATGGGTTCAGCTTCATTTTGGCGCACACAGATTTTTGAATAAAACCCGATTTTGTTCGATTGCAAAAAACCAGGGTCGGCCACCCTTGGTTTAGGTGTATTGCACCATACAAAAATCAAGATATCGATTCGTTCAAAATATGTCTGGCCTAATTTGATCCGAAGTGAGAATCTAAAATAAAGCGTGATTGCGAATTTTGACTGATAATTTAAATCACAATTCAAAGCTGGGCTACATTCTAAACACAAGGCGAAAATTTGTACTCCGGAGTATTACTTGAGTGAAAATGTGCGCCACAAACATAGACGCAAGTACCAAGTTACCATCGCTTGGATTCGCTAGATGGAGCACCCAAGAACTTCAAGGTTCAGCAACGGGGGAATCGGCGCACTTGGGCCAGCGTGTATTTGAGATGCCTAGCATATATTTGTACGATTGGAGGCGTTTCAAATCTAAATCGTACCA